TGTGGCTCATCTTCAGTCTTTCCATCTTGCTTTTTTGTTTATGTGTGGGGCTGAGGAGGCCCAGAGCTCACAACGATAGGCAAGCACTCCACCACCGAGCCACACCAGCCCCTCGTATTTCTGACTAGGGCTGACACCATCCTGTAGTGTTCATCCTGAGTTTCTTTGCCCATCCCCATCGACTTTAATCAAACACTTAGATTCTCAAATGCACCTGCCCACACCACAGTCACAGCAAAGCTGAACCAGTGCCTGACCCCAGAGCAACCCTGTGCTATGTCCTGGTGCCGATGAAACAAAGGGCTGCACTAGCAGCCTCTGAGCAAACCCACTTGAGCAGGATAAAATTCAGGACAACATGGCAGGGAAAACTGCATGAAGGAACAGGAAGAACTAATCCTAGACAAGTTACAGCATCCTACAACCTATGCTTACTGTCAACTGGAGGAAAGAGTTCTTGATGAAAAATATTACTGCATTTGCCACACCCGAGAGGGCAGTGCGGAACTGCCATGTTCCCCACACTGCATTATTCTCTGGAACGCCTGAGGTAGGTGCTCAGATTGTTTCTGACAGATGAGCATGGAGCTTCAGGAGGCTAAGAAACTGAGCGGTACACAGCTGGGCATGAGCACCACAGATCAGCTTGTCCACGAGGGTGATGCATGTACACAGGCATGTGCACATGTTTCTCCAGCTCCTGGGCTCACTGTGGTTGACACTGGCAGAAACATCAGCCAGCACCCTCAGTGGTCACAGAGTGATACCAAGTATGGTTGCAGATTGACATTTAATTGTCCCATTTTACCTGATAATGAGACCAGGGCCTGTTTGGTTTGACCAGAGTGGAAGATTCTGGAAGTGAAGCAGGTTCATGTCTGAACAGGCCAAGCTGAAACTCTGCAAGATTCACTCTTCCATCTCTATCTTGATCCAGTTTGTTGAACAGATCTTCAAGTTCCTAGACAAAAGTCACCACCCTTCAGGTCTGGAGGGTCACGTGGTCTGTCCCTCTGGCTCCGAACACCCAACAAGGGCAGCTGGCTTATCCTTATTCAAAATCAGACTGTTAGCTGCTTGCCTAAGTCTTCTCAGCTGTTCTGTACGGCCTTGCCAGGGGGGTTTCAATCCCACTGGGAGAAGGCAGCACCCGAACATCCTAAGGCTACAGATTGGGGGGGGGGCAGGAACTTACTGGATGCTGAGGCAATACATGCAGGAAGCCCAGCCTGGGCACACAGTGCATGGTCCAGCAAGGATACAGGGTGTGAGCAAGAGTAACCATCTGCCTAGGAAGATGGTGCACACAGCTGCTTGGGTGCAGGCAGGCTCAGAGATGGCATGTTGGGGTGGAAAAGGGAGGAGGGCTTTTGTTCCAGACAGGAGGCCTATAAGTGAAACTATTAGAAGCACCAGCACCTTAAGGGCAGCAGCTAGTTAAGTGAGGGTGGGCTGTGTGGCTGGAGATGGACTCAGAGGTATTTAGCTTTCGGCAAAAGTACCGGCAGCCATCAAAGGATTTTAGACTACATAGTGAGGAACTGAACTGGTGTCTGAAGGGTGAAGTGATTTTCTAGTCCCAGTAGTAAATGTGACCACTTCCAAGAGCAAGGAATGAGGGTGGCCTAGGGTGTTTACCTCTTTCTTAAGACCATGGAGTCCAGTGCTCTGGCAGACCACAGCCAGCTCCTGCTCATTCAGGTGACCACTGCTGCCAACCCCCAGCTCATGACAGATGTCCTGGACCTGGCTCTCAGGAGTATTGAAAGAGGGGCTACAGGATTTCCAGGGTGTCCTGAAGACCTCACAACTCCAGGGCTATAGCTGACCTGAAGCAAAGGAGGTTCACAATTAAACGGGATAAACACACACAATAATAAAGAAACCACAACGGAATACTCAGCATTAAAAAGAATGAAATCAAGGATAAACATAGAGGACATTATGTTAAGTGAAATAAGCTAGACGCAGAAGGACAAAAATCCATGATCTCATTTATATGTGGGATCCAGCAAAAAGCTAGATTCTCAGTGGGAGAGTAGAATAGAGGTTACCAGGTGGTAGAGGACAAAAGGTCTTGGCTAAAGGACAAAAGCTCTTAGTACTGGAGACCTACTGCATAACAGTGACCACCAGTGGCAATCACATCCTGATTACTGGAAATTTATAGCACACATGAAGGTAAGGAGGCGAGGCGATGGAGTGTTCACAGTGTAGACATATTATGAAATCACCACCTGTCAATCATACCTCAGCAGATCTAGGGACAACTTAATACTTAAAGCCCAGTGAAGCATGTTGGGAAATACTTCGATGCTGGCACATCTCAGAGGTCAGGCTAGCAGACAGACAGGTGGACATGCAGAGGTAAAGGAAGCATATGAGGTGGGGTGTAGGTGGTGGGTTAATGGAGTTCACAAGATAGTTCTTTTCCCTTCATGTTTAAGGTTTCCTAGGAAGATGCTGAGGGGGAAGCCTTGTTCCCCATGAGAAAATCTTTCTGCAGGGAACCCTCTGAAGTCAGACTACAGAAGGTTCAGAGGTGGACTCGGGTTTGTACTGACGATTAAAGATAAGCTTTCCAAACTATATCAACCTTTCTCTTTGTGGGAATCCAGGACCTTGTGCTTGCTAGGCAAGTGCAGTACCATTAAGCAACACCTTCAGCCTAACATTAGCTTTTTAAAAATTTTAATGTTTTACAACTTTCCAAATACACCCGAAGTGCAGTGTACAGGGCAGCCTGCCGTGCCTACCTTCAGGCATGGTGGCTTCATCTTGTGCCCTTTTCTTACTGTTGATGCAAGATCTGGGGATTGATACCAGATCTTGTGCTGTTAGTCCCTCTACATATTTAAAGTTGTTTTTGGAAAATAAAACCAATTTCTTACATCACACGATGCCTGTCACACCTCGCAAGTTGAAAAGCAATCCCTGTCTCACACATCTTCATGTACTTGACTCATTTGAATCAATGTTCAAAGTCCCTAAGGGCCCCTGGCTGTTTCTTCTCAAGTCTTTTGGTCCCAAGTCTCTTTCCTATCTCATTTTTTAAACAGCTTGCTTTCCTATGGTGGTTAACTCTTCCCTCTGTCCCTAGCATCTCCGACGAGCTGGAGTTAGTAAGATTAGTGTGGAATCACATTCAGCTTCTGTTGTTTCTCTTACTATTTGCAACGATGCTTTGCAGGTGGTTGTGTGATTCATGTATCCAACTTAGGAGGTGTTGGCATCTTCAGGGGTCACAGAGGAGCTAGAACCAGTGGCTGGGTTTGCAATTTCTCTACTGCAGCTGCTCAGCTTTGTGTTTGAAGCTTCCCAAAGGAAACAGCATGGATGAGGACAGACACTGGAGCTTCCATGAGGAAGGAATTGGTGAACCAGATGCACCCTCTGCCCCTTTTCCATACTTTCCAGCCCAGCACAGGAAGAGGCTGCTTTGGCTGAAAAGACTTTAGACAGTGCATGTTATGTTTCAGTGATACGAATGTCACAGAGGAGAGATGTGAACATCCTTTTTTTGTTGTTGTTTTTTGTTTTTTGAGATAGGGTATTCCCATAGTCCCAGCTGGCCTGGAACTGGCTATGTAGACCAGGCTGTTCTGAATATTACAAAGATTCACCTGCCTCTACCTCCTGAGTGCTGGAATTAAAGGTGTACGCTACCACATGGTCCATTCTTTACTTTCATAACCCATCTAGTAATATAAAAGTCATTGCCCTCCAAGGAAAGCCAGCCCACGTACACCAAATTACCCTGTGGATTAGGTGGAGGAAAGCACATTAAAGGCCTATGGCCAGCACAGCCTGATTCAACACAGAAGATATTGTAGGGCATTCCGCTTCATCCAAAGGTGGGCGTCTGGTGTATGCAGGATGATGAAAGCCAGACTCTGTGGCTCATGGGTAGTCAGAACAAGTGACTTAGTGTCATCCCAGTTGACCTGGTACTTTCTATAACAGGACACACCAGGACACATGCATCCAACAGGCACCTGCCAGTTCCTTATAGGCGGCTTGGGACAGAGGCCTCTGCAACCTGAAGAGAACTCCATCAGTTCAGCCAGATCCGGACCCCTCTCTAGTGTGCAGCCCCTCCCCCTAACCCAGCTCCTTTCATCACTGCCCTCTCCAAAGATCACAACAGCTTCCTGCCATTCTTGGGCCTCATGAGTCTGGGTTCAAAGGACAAGTTTGTTCTCCACTTGCTCACTGAAGCACACGACAACCTTCATGGTCTCATTCCTCCCCTTGTTTGAAACACCTGCGCTTTTTTTTTTTCACCTTCCCATGAAGTGATTTAAAAACACAACTGGAAAATTCTAACTTTTTCCATCAGCTGGGGGGGGGGGCTGTGGCCCCTCCAATCTCAGAAGCCTTGTGACAGCTTCCACCAATAGAATGTGGCAGAAAGAATGCTGTGTGACTAGGCAGGCAACTATGCCCTGAGGCATCCCCAGCCTGCCTTGCTGGACCTGTTAGGGGTTCCTGAGCCATCATGCTTTGAGGAAGTCTAGCCATGCTGAGAGGTCATGTGAAGGCAGTCCACATCTGTGCCCTAGCCCAGCTATGTTAAGTCACACTTTCCATGACTCATGGCTCAGCCTTTGTTGCCTCAGCAGAGGCCCTAGATGTCATGGTGCTAAACCTTAGAGCCTTCTTCACTTTCCTGAGTACTCCAAGCCTCAGCTCAGAGAAGTTCTGAAACAGTGTCAGAAAACACCTGACTTCTGTGGCCATTAAAGCCTGCTGCAACCCTCACTCTTGCTCCCAAGCCCATCAAGAGCCCCTGTACCACACCTCGGGCTGCACTGAACAAGAGATGTTCAGACACAGATGAGCCTGTTGCAAGGGTCAGCCTATGGCAGGCTCCTGGGAAGTTCCTCGGCTTGCACAGCAGCCAGGTACAGCTGTCACTCCCATGTCAGTGAGCTCCTTTTCTCACTTCTGTGACATCACAGACTTTGGAATTGTTTGCCAGAGATCTTGGTCTTATCTCTCTGTTAAGAGTCTAGGATTCTTTTGCCTATTATTGTTTTTATATGTTTATGTGTGTGTATACACATTCATATATATACATGTACATGTCTGCAGGTGCATGAGCATGCTCATGTGTGTGGAGGCCAGAGGTCCATGTCTGGTGTCCTCTTCAATAATTGACCAATTTATTTTCTGAGACAGAATCTCTCACTGAACCTGGAGCTGACTGGGCTAGACTAGGCAAACAGGTAGCTCCAGGGATCTTCCTGTCTTTGGCTCACCAGTGCTGGGATTATAGGTGTGCATAGCTTTTACATGGGAGCTGGAATCCAAATTCACACAAATTGCACAGCAAGTACCTTACTCACTGAGGACCAAAACCTCACACTCTAAAATTCTTTAGTATTTCTTGATTTTTTTAAATTATAGAAGTAGCACAGGCAAATATGAAATTGAAAAAAAAAAACCAGTCCCCTCCCTACAGAACTTCTTTCCTCTCCTCTAGGCTACTGCTCTGAAAAACATTTTGTTGTGTTTCTGAACCCTAGAGCACAGAATGCAGTTTCTATATCCCTGGAGCATGTAATACACACATCACCCCCAGAAAGGTACAAATGCATTTCACATCCTGCTTATAGACCTGTGTACCCAGCTCCTGCTTACAGCTCAGCATCACACAGCACCACAGTGGCACTGAGGGCTGAGCTATGTACTCTTTTGATGCTCATGTGCTGTGATATGCTCCAGCTACCCGTCTTTGGTCGCTATGTAAGGCTCTCATGCAGTAGGATACAGCCCAGACCCTGAGAGGGGCCTGAGGCTACTCCGTCACAGCAGAGGGAGGCTGTATCCAGGACCATTGTGCCAAGAAGGAAGGGGAGGACCAGCTCTAGGCTTGACCAGGCCAAGCAGAGCCCTCTGGCCTGAGAACTCTGGGTAATGCCTGCCATATGGTATCACACTGAACTCACATAGCAGAATTAGCATTCAACCTTGGCTAGAAATCTCTTCTCCAGGAACTGGTCTTGGAGGAAACTGTAGACCAAGTGACTGCCTCAGGGTGGTGATGTCAACAATCTAACCACTTTTGGGTTAGGAACCTATGGGGGGGAGGGCTCTGTTAAAAAAGAGAGATGGGCGGGAGAGAGAGAGAGAGAGAGAGAGAGAGAGAGAGAAAGGAGAAGGGGGAGGGAGGGAGGGAGGATTGGCCTGTCCAACGATCCGGCTCCTTGAACTCCTATCAGACACAGCATGAAACATGCAGCCACAGTTACCTTGTGCTTCAAACAGTTCACCCTGGGGTTCTTTAGCACTCTCAGCTTCCTCATCTGACTTGAGGCTCTGTGGAAAAACATGAAGAGAAAGATGTGAGTCCTCCAATGGTGGTCATGGTGGATGCAACACCAGCGATAAGCAGAATAGGATGTTTGGGTTGGGGAGGGACTTCTTCAGGAGATGCACTCCAGGCTGGCATCCGTAGGCTGAAGCTCCGCAGCATGTGGTCCCACCAAGCAGGGCACTGTATGCCATGAAAACCAACGCCCTCTCTAAAGCAAAGGGCTCAGACTCAAGGGAGTTTGGGCACATGACTTGCTCTGCACTTTCAGGCTCCACAGCATAAACCAAAGCTATCAGCAGGCCATGATAAACACACAGAAATAAACACTCAGCCCCATTTTCTGATGTGCTTAACTTAGCTAACAACACAGCTTTCCCCATGTTTGGGAGTCGATGAGCTATTGAATGTCACAATGAAGGTGGAGTGTCCGAGCTCAGAAGAGTGTCCCCTCCTGTCAACCCTCTGTGGCTGAGGGTCATATTCAAAGAGAGAACACAAAGGGGCTAGGGAGATGGATCGGAGGTTAAGAGTACTTGCTGCACTTGCAGAAGACCTCGGTTTAGTTCCCAGCACCCACGTGGCAGTTCATAACTGTCTGTAATTCTAATTTCAGGGGATTTGATACTCTCTTCTGGCCTTCTCAGGTAGTGCGTGCCTGTGGTGCTCTCAATGCAGGCAAAACGCCCATACATATAAAATAAGTTAATCTTAAAAATCTAAGACAGAATTAAAAAAAAACCAAAAACCTATGTTCTGAGTTTGTTGGTGATGTTCAGATGTAGCAGGCTTTTGAGAGAAGAGATTCTTTGTCTTTGCCTCAAAAATGTTTAAAATAGGTTGGCAAGTTAGCTTAGAAGGTATGGGCACTTGCCAATAAGCTTAACGACTGATATTCAATCCCCAGGATTCTCAAGGTGAAAGGAGAACCAACTCCTGCAAGGTGTCTTCTGCCCTCTACTTGTGCACCACAACACACTCATTCATAGCTGTGCACACATGCACACACACACAAAATAAATAAAAATATGATAAAATTTTTAAAATGTTTACAATAAAAATACATTTGGGTCCCAAAGTTCCCAACAAGGCCCTGTCTTATTGGGGAAGTTGACATCACAGAGAGTAGGAATCAGAAACCTTCTAGAATCCTTAAGAAACAGGTCTGGTGAGTCAATGATTGATCTGAAAGCTACAGACCTCTGTGGAAAGATTTCTTTACATGAAGCAGGAAGCAGGTGCAGCTCTATCTGGCTCTCTCAGATGCCTGCAGCAAAAGACCAGGGCAGGGAAAGGGTCCCTATGGCTCTAGGGAGGCACCTGGCTGCAATTTGCCAGACACAGATGTGTAGGCCTGAGCATATCCTGAGGCAGACAGGACTGTGGACCTGGTGCTCCCACATTGTTCCAAGTATGTGGGGAGAGTGTCGTGTATTTAGGACTGCTCCCAAAGACAGATGAAAGAGTTTTAAAGGGGGCACCATTGCAATGTGCACCCAAGTTGCTGACAACTCAAGCTGCCCAGGAACATGGTTCCCTCCCCACATCCTCTGAGACCATAACCTATGGACAGTGACAAATTGAAATTTACTCCCCTAATGTCAGGAAACCTGAGTGGGAAGTGATGGCTGACCCACCTCTACACTTTCCAGAGATGCAGCCCGCTGAACCGGTGACTTCAGGCTGCCCTTGCCCTGCCGTTCTGATCCATATTTGGCCACAGCAGTAGAGTCACAAAACTTGGGTCGGCTCCGGTGGCCATACCACTTAGAGCCACTCACATACCTTGGTGGGACAGGACAGGAAGCAGCTGAAAAGAGAAATGGAGGTGGAGGGCTTTGCTATGAAGCAGGCTTTGGGCCCTCACACACCAGTGACAGGTTTGACCCATGGTATGGCTCACTCACAGACATACTGTTAAGCACATAGAAGCCTGGAGAACACAAGAGCCCTTATCAGTTAACAGAGGCTGTCCTAGCACGTGAAGTGATACTGGGAAACAGGCTGGGCAAGGGGAGCTAACCCCAGGTTCTCTTTACATTTTCTCAAGCACATTTTGTTTTTGTTCATGGAATGCAACACCACTACCCTAAGAACACTAGCGATAGTGCCCTGATAACTATTTCTTCTAACTTCTCCCCTTACTGTTCCTAGACAGGGTCACAGCCTATGCCTCAACAAGGCAAGTTCAGCCACCTATCCAAGGTGTGGGTCAGGACATCTGTCACCTTTTCATCTTTTAGCGAGGCGAATAGGGCTAGGGAGCCAGTCAAATGGTCATTTTAGTTTACAAAAACAGTTATCATCAGCAGAAGTTTAGATTTCTGACACATTTGATTTATACTTCTCTTGGACTAACTGAACCAGGTGCCTCACTAAACCAGTTAGTGAACTTTCCATTCTTTTAGTTTTATATCTTTATCAACAGTCAAACATATTGAGTAGAAAGTATCACAGAGCTTCAAGACTACAGAGTAACATAACAAAATGTCTTAAGGTAGTGAAAATACTGCAGAGTAATAAAACATCTTTGAGCATCCCAGGATTACATTTCAAGGTGTCTACCCAGTTAAGTAAAAAGAAGCTTCCAATGGCCTAAGCTTACAAGGATATCATACAAGATATGGTTGGTTATAAGAATATGTTTTTCCTTATCAATGTAACAAGTTGTGTCACTGGGTGAAATTCCTTCTCTTTTCAGAGAGACAAGTTCTCCCTCTGGCTGGCACCAGGACTCAGCCTTCTTCTTCCAACATTGAGATTCCTGGGGGGAAGTTCCCCAATTCCCTGGGGTACCTTGTTTCAACAGTCCAGATAGCCAGAATAAGGGACACTAGTATATCATCATTCTTGCCAGGCATGGTGGCTACATTAGGACCCCATCCCCTTGGTGCTAGAGGTGCTCCATGGGCCAGGGGTGTGGGCATTAGACACAGTCAGGTGACTGTCATCCTGTGCAGCATGGATTATGGTCTCCAGACTGAAAGGAACACCCTAAACCTTAGGCTTCCTTGTAGCTCCTTCTTTCTACCTCTGATCCGCATGAGCAAGGGTGGAGAGCATGGGAAGCAGTCACAAGAGGATGTAGGCTCAGGAAAGGGAGCAATCAGAAAAATGGACTATGGAGGCCAGGCCTGGCCATGAAGCTGAGGAACATGTCATGGCAGATATGTCTTAGGTCTTATACAGAAGGCAGATTCCTAAGGCCAAGAATCTCCTTAATTCTTTCCTCTGTGTTACTGGTCTACATGGTGACCCTGGAGCCATCAGAGGAAGAATCTGGAGTTCAAGGTCACTCAAAACACACAGGGAGACTGCTGGGACACTTTGACACTCCTTACAGGTATCATTAAGAATCATGACTTTGTATGAAATTCCCAATAAATTATTTATTAAAAAAAATCATGCCTTATAAGAGAAGAGGTAATGACAGGGGCAGAACTCACCGGACATGTTGAGGAGCACGAAAAGCTGTGTCAGCACAGAGAAATCAAAACATATGAGAAAACGTATTGAGGCAGGAGACAGTCCCTCATAGGCAGGAAGGAAAAAAGGCCTGTGATAAAACTACAAGCTGGTCACGTAAGCGTGAGAACAAAGACAGCATCGTTTAATTAACAGCTAGCAAGACACCAGCCAGGGCTGAAGACCAGCAGCACTTGTAAGGTGGGACGACACGCTAGCCAGGGCTAGCAACCAGCAGATGAGCCAAGGTCAGCAGCTAACAAAGCAAACCAAAGATGGACAGAGGGAAGCTTCAATGCATCGCCACCCTTCTGATTGAAGGAGCTGTGCACCATCATCTTTCCAGCTGGGCCAGGGGAACATGCACAGACCATGTAGGCACTCCACTGGTCAGTCATTGATATGCTCAGAGAATTAGCCAATCTGAGTAAAAATTAACATAGTTTTTGGCCAGTTTCTGCCATAAATCTTACAAAAAGCTCCTACAGCATAGCTCTGCAGAGTTTTCTTCTCTTGGGCTCCTTCCCAGTTTGTGGCTTTTTTCTTTCTTTTCCTTAATTTCTCACTTTGCCATAAGAAACCTGCTTTTTCTTTCTTCACTCCTCCTTTGTTCATGTCTTTATTCTTCATCAGTGTGAGACAAAGAATGTGAACAATTATCTCAAGTTGACTTTTAGTGACCCTTGATCATCCAGGACCTCGGTCCCTGGGTCAAGCCCATCTTGGGTGAGAGAAGACACTTTACTCTCAAAGATCTGAAACTATACCAATGTTCACAGGCAATTCCATTCATGGAGAAAGACTCAATAAAGAGCAGCCAGAAAACAAAGGTTCTCACTGCTGACTAGCTTCCGTTTGCAGACAAATGTGGCTGGACGTGGTGGCTCTCCTCTCCCTTCCTGTCTCTTGTGGAGGTACCTTCTGGTGATACAGGAAGAGGAAATCATGTGCAGTGGGAAATGTGATACACCTGAGCAGCTGGGCAGAAGAAACCAAGGCTGCTCACTCTCCTCTGCCCCAACCACGAGACCTACCACAGAGGAGATCCTGACCACCATACCTCGCCCCAGCTGTGGCCCCATCCTGAGGGTTGGTCAAGTACCTGCACATCTGGCAATGGTGTAACCTGCCCATGCTTCTGATTCCTGTGGAGCTCCTTGTGTCCAGTGTCCCCTTCATATCCCACTGTCCTTGTTCTGGCCTCACAATGACCTCAGATTGTTCCTCTATATCCTCATCCCCGGCCAGGTAGTCCTTCCCTTACAGTAGTGAACCACTGAAGAAAAGGACATGCTCTTCTCCTAGTACTCCTGAGGTTCCCACCAGAGCAGCCCAAGGAGAAATCTCCTTCCAGCATGGAAAACCCCCACTCAGAAGGGGGTGTCCACATGGCTCATCCCTATAGAAACAACACAGAGCATTAGGTAATGACAACAACTGGGCAGCTTCTAGTCCCTACAGCATCACAGCGCTCTCCCTCTGCGGTGAGAGCACCATAAGTCACCTGGGCCTAGCATCTTTTACCATGTTCTCAGCCTACCCTCAAATGGAACTTGATATGCACAGCCCTACAAGGGCCCCAGTGGCTGGCCAGTGCCCTGCAAACCTATGTGTCATCTCTGTGTGAACTGAAATTGGAAAAGTGAAACAAGGTCAGAAAGCAAAGTATATTTACTTCCATATTCAATACTGGCCTTCACCCACAGGAGGGACAGCAGAGCAGGGCTACTCTTCATAATCCACGCATCTGCTCACACTGAGAAATGCATTTTTCCTGGCCATGAGGTGGCACCAGCAGAGAGATTGGAAATGAGGAAGCTGGTGAAGTGACAGGAGCCGAGGAGGCAAACAGGATGATCAGAGGGGCAAGGAGCAGGCAGGGCTGAGGCACAGGAGACACGGGACCAGTAAGTCAGAAAACAAGGTAAGAAAGACTGGCACTGACCCAGACTCAACCCTGGAGGGTGCAGGTAGGGCTGACCCAAGTCTGTGGCCACAGGCTTGCAGCACAAAGTCAGCCCTTCTGGAAGGAGAGACTGCTATCTAGCTACTTCCTCCACATGGAAACATTCCCACCTGCAGGGAGGACAGAGGCTCCCAAGACTCAGGAAGCTAATGAAGCTTATCGGGCTGAAGAAGCTCAGAAAGTTACGAGGTTCACAAGACCGACTACGTTACATAAGCTCTAAAAGATTGCTGGGGAAGGTGGGGGGGGTAGAGCTCCACAGAATCAGCCCTGCTCCTGTAAGTAACCCCAGTGAACTCACTGATTAACCCATCAAGACCTGGGTATGGGTAAAATCATTTCTTCAGACATTTACTCAGACCTCTTCCAAAAAGGCCACTTAACAGAGATGGGCAGAGGTTGAGCTCCATCCAGTGACATGAGCGGCAGCATTTTGTACGCGGCACAGGGCCATTTAACTGAGGAAAAGTTTTAAAATTCTAATTCAAAAGAAAAAGATTTGGAATTGGTGAGGAAAAACATAGGGCTTAAAGGAGCTGGTTTTTTGAAAGAACTGAAACATCACACTGCAGATAGCCACTCTTAAGTCGTGGCCATCACATGGCTGGAAGTAGGGTATCCTATGTCTCTGGTACATCAGAGGGACTTGACCTCATTGTTTCCAAGACATTTTGATGTCCCCAGTCACCTTCTAAACTCTTGTGGGTCACAAAAGACAAGCAGCCCTCCTCACATCTTTGGAATGTGAAACAAAGGGTTGTGCAGTTGG